CAGCCCTGATAGTAGACGTTCGGTTACTGGTTACTGCATTTTTATTGGTGATTCTTTGGTATCATGGAAGTCCAAGAAGCAACCGACTGTGTCTCGTTCTTCCACCGAGGCTGAGTATCGTTCCATGGCCAATGTCACTTGTGAGTTGCTGTGGATTTTATCGCTTCTTAAAGACCTTCATGTTCTTCATTCTGCTCCAGCTCATCTTTTCTGTGACAACCAGTCTGCCTTGCATCTTGCGGCCAATCCTGTTTTCCATGAACGGACAAAACACATTGAGATTGATTGTCACCTTGTTAGGGAGCACATTCTCAAGGGCCATTTGAAGACTTTTCCCATCCCTTCTTCTAAGCAACTTGCAGACATTCTCACCAAACCCTTACTGCCTTCTCAATTTTCTGTTTTGTTATCCAAGATGGGAGTTTTGAACATTTACTCTCCATCTTGAGGGGGGCTATTAATATCAGTATTTTGTTATTTTTCCTTATTTTGGTTATTTTGTTAGTTAGTGACTAGTATTCTGTTAATCAGTGAGTGATGTGTGCGTTTTGGTGACACACACTTGCACGTTCTCTTTCTGTTAGGAAAAGTTTGTTATTGGCCTTTCTGTTTTGGCCCTCCTTTTGCTTCAGGTTATATAGCCTTACATTGTATTCTTTTCTTTAATCAATCAATGAAATGCAAATTCAGTTTTTCTTCTTCAAGTTATGCTTCTCTAAAACTAATAATGTGTACTTGGCGAGTTCTTGGAACTTAGCTTTGTAATCATCATCAACTAATTTGTCTCCCTACTCCAGCATCAGAAATTCTCGTTTCTTCTTCTTCTCGCGCTTAGCTTTATGGAAGTATTTTTCCAAGAATGCTCGTTCCAAGACTTGCCATTTGATCACCTGATTTAGTTGCTCAAACAACCTCTGGGTTCATTGTCGCCATTCATCAACATCTCCGTGTAGTATGTATGAAGCAAAATTCACCTTCTACGTGTCAGTGCACTCCATTACCTTAAAAATCTTCTGCATTTCTTATAGTCACTTAGTCACTGCCATTAGACCATCGAATCGATTAAATGATGGGGAACTGTGCTTCCAAAAGTCATTTAGCTGCCTATGTTCTCCTGTATCTGCGGGCATGTCTGGTGCACACCCCTGAGTTTGTACTCCTGTCGCTTGAAACTCTTACATGATTTGGCATACTATTGCAATAACACCTACGACGATAGCTACACTAATCATATCTGCTGCTCTTTTTGTCGTTGAAGAATAAGAATTGGGTCAGTCTCCTACCATAATCCTGCACACATCATACCAACTGGTGAGTTGATCAGGCTCACAGCATAGCAATCTGTATGCACGAGTATGAATACAAGTAGACCAACACCAACAAACAAGCAAACAACAACAAACAAAATTATAATTTCTGAGGATAGATTTTTATAAAAAAAAACTATACGTCATGGTTATTTTTTATTTAATAAGATCAAATTTTTAATATTGATATAACTAGGAATTAATACTTGTTTTTTTATCATATCATAGCACAGCAAAATATTATTCACAATCTCTTTTTTTTCTCTTCTTTTGTTTAAATCCTTGATTATTATGTTAGCAACATTTAAATAAAAAGGAAAAAAGACATGAAGAATCCATTTTTTATCTATATGATTAATTTTAGACCAATCTAGCTAAAGGATCACTCGAAAGATTGTGCCAACTTTTATATAACCTTTTCTTCGGATATAACGCTATATATATATAAATCAAAGTAATGTGCATAGGAAAACCACTGATCCATCAAGAAAGTACTGATAACCATGGAACTTTAGACCCGAGCAGCATTAAATTTAGAGCTCAACTTTAATTGACTTTAACGGCTACCCTCAAAACATAGAAGATTCTCTCCACATTGCATGCATAAACCCCACCCATAACGTAATGCCTTCTCTTTCGGTAAGGGCATGCTTTAAAGTGTTCATAGACTTGATCTCATCTCGCATGCATTTCAGTTATTATAGTTTTACTTTTACTACTAAATCCATGGTTTTGTGCTTATAACACAAATTCAACTAAAAGAAATAAACACCTAATTCTTATATTACCAAATGCAGAAGTTCTAACCATTAATCCCTTATTGAAAAACCCAATATTATATCTTACTCATTTTGTCATAGCTATAATATAATATGCATTGTGAATAAAATTGATTCATAGAAAAACCCACGTCTTATAATTGATATAAACTAGGTACTAACTTAGTACTGATCGAGTAACTTCTTTTGATGGAGGAAACATCAATCCATCAGGACACGTTATATGTATATATCATCAATTATCTTTTGTGCTTTTATGATTGAGAGTAAAAAAAACATGCACGAACTCATATGAATCAAAAGAGAGATCAATTGTAGAAATAAGTGCCATAGTTGCTTTCAATATTAAACCATGTTTAAGACAGGTGTATATATATGTATTTCTAAAGCAAAGCAAGTTGGTCAGTAGATTCCCGTTCCCTACTTATTTAGAAAAGAAGGCTTTAACACTTTAGACAAGAGCATCATACTGAAGCATTGCTTGAAGATTCGCTCACATAGATATTGAGCTTTAGTATTCAATGAAGTAGCTTGCTTCATCTTTTCTAATTATTCAATATTGTTTCACCTTATAATGCACTTTATAATTATAATCTATTTTGCTTCGAGTTCGAGAAGAGGCTATAGTATAGAGTATGAAGATGAAAATCTAGCAAGAAACGAAATGGATGATTATAGGCGAAATGATTTTCCGTGACAACTTACTGTTACTGGCATCGGTGTAGAAAATTTTAGTTACATATTGAACTTCCTAAGTTAGTGTGAATTTAATTTTTAACGGTCTTTCTCACTAAATTTTTTGGCTCCAACATTAGGCAAGGGAAGTAAAAATAAAAAATAAGTTAAGAGATAAAGTATCAATTTTTTTTTTCAAATTTATTATCTTTGCTTTTTCACTCTAATTACTTCGCATTCAAATCACGATTCTTATTGGACGAACTGTGGAGACGGCCTAATATTATTGTGGGCCCGGGCTTATTTTATTAGCTCTCTTGTTAGTAGTTTGGGTTTGGGGCTATAAATAATTACCGTTGCTTTTTATATTCTGTTTATAAACATGTTTTATGACAAATGTGACGAGAAGAGTATAATGAAACATTGCTGGACATAATCCACTTTAGGTGAAGTAGAATAGATGTCTCATTTTTTTTTTCCTTCTCTCTTTTTTTATTTTACAATTATATGTGTGATTTTTTCGTTCTCAACACACTCACGGTATTTATTCATCTCAAAAAACCAAAATTTGAACCATCAAAAAAACATACCTACACTCAAGAGCCATGAAAAATTAAAAAGAAATATAAATATTCAGTTGTGAATTAACTCACACATCCTCAATCAAATTCTCAAGTAACCAACATCATCAAATCCCTAAATACACACATCATTCTTCCACCAGAAACCCCCATCAATATTAAAGACACTAACATAAAACACTAGCTAACACATCATCCAAGGGTCCTGTCAATATGCCTTTCATCCATGCGGTCAAGCCACCTACCAAGAATTCATTCCCTTGCTTCCATAGGCATTGTGTAAAAGGGTACTTTAGTTAATATCCCTAATTGCTGGAACCAACTAGGGAAGAGAAAAGGAAAGATAGCATAACGAATTTAAAAAAAAAAAAATTAAAAAAAAAATGATACATTGGTCTCTTAATTAACTGATTTTTCTGTTTTCATTTTGGTCCATTAAATGTCAGAACCACATTAGCCGTTTGTGTCACATCCTCATGTTTTATAAGTTGGAATAATGAAATTACAATGAGAATTTAATTAGTTAACGATTCTTGCAAATTAACCAAAGAAAGAAGAAGATGTTAGAAAATCAAATTGAAGGGGAAAGAGGGGGGGGGGGGGGGGGGGGGGGGGGGGGGGGGGGGGGGGGGTTAAAGAATCAAAGTACTCCTTTTGACTTAACAATATACACATGTTCTTTTGTTTTTTCAATAAAGATAGTCCACATTGGACCTTTTTTTTATACTTCGGTCAAGCTCAATTGAATCGGTTCAATGCATCATGTATCGCTTCATTGTATATTCCGTGCCATTAATGCAAAGTCTTGTTGTTACTGGGTCCAACAGTCTTGGCTATTTGGGCCCAAACTACTAAAGTGGAAACGAGCTTCATCATGTATTGAGTGCGCTAATGGAGTTAAGAAGCAACATCAATAAAAATTACATGATGTATCAGTAGGTCTTGCGTTTATGACTAAAAAAAATCTTAAATTGTATATATATATATATATATATTGGGAAAAATATTTGTAATTTTAAATGATAGAAAGTTATGTCATTTTAAAAGAGATACAGACACAGAAAATTTGAATTTTAAATTAAAAAAAACCACTCACTTTCTCTCTTCCATGATTTCTGTTTTTCTGTGTTTATCTCTCTCCTAAAATGACATAACTTATGTCATTTAAAATGACAAACACCTAACCCATATATATTTAAGGTGGAATATAACTCCAAACTTCATAGTTAACTTCTTAAGTAAATATTGGCTGTATAATCAATATTAAAATCTGATAGGGGAAGGTGATGAAACACAATTAAATGTCAACAGCTTAGCTGTATTTATATCTTCGTTTTATTTAAAATTTGAATGTCTTGCTTATACAAGAAAAACAATTTCTGATTCAATAATTTTAAATAAAAAAAACACATTTAGAACGATTTTTTTTAAAAAAAAGAAAAAAAGAAATATCCCTCTAAAACAAATTGTTACAGAACAAGAGAACATGCTAAGAATTAAAATAGCTGTTACCAAACTAGTGAGCCTCGTATGTTTTTGGAGGCCCTAAGCAGATATTGAAGCCCAACATAGTGAGAAAATGAATGACCTAACAAAACAAAAACAAAAAGCCCAAACCATGAAGATGCTGAGTTTGGCATCGTCTTTGTCTTCGATGTTGTGGTGGTCTCCACATATCCCACTAGAGTGGAAGCTTGTACCACGTTCTCTCTCTACTGTGCTCACACCCACGAGGCTCACGTTTCTGGGCATTAGGTGAAACTCGTAAACAAGTTTCAACCATTTTTATTTTCTGCTTATGATGGAATATATTTTAACATTTATATTGTTCTTTCTTGCTGTGTGGTTGAAGAAGCCCACGAATTGTTTGACATAATGCCTGAATGATTTACAACAAATATGGACATGTTTTCTGTATTGATCAAAATGATTGTGAGGCTCTGATATAATAGGTGGTTTTCTGTATAAAATTATTTTGTAAGATAAATTCATGTTAAAGGAGGCATTCGTAACTTTTTGACTTCTTTACCATTTTTTCACCTCAGCTCTTAAAATGTTGTTATTCACGTGGATATTGCTATGAGAAGCACGTGTGTTTGAATGCTCGAGCGTGTCATGACACCACCCTATTCATGTCTGCTAATTTACTGAGCATCCAGTATGCTTTTTGTTTGTTTTTCTTTTGTTCTAATGTGAAAATATTTGGCTAGATTGACTTCAGGACATTTCTTTTCTCTGTATATTATGATGTTTTCTTTTAACCTTTATACATAATATAGGCTTAGGATCATTTAAACCAATGTAAGTTACACTCTCAATCTTGACTGTCAATCTCACTTCTATCTAAGGATTTATTTTTTTAGTTACATGAGTCATTGGATATTAGTGGATCAATGGTCAAGATTGAGTGTAAAACTTCTTATTCTTACACCGATGTAAGTGTAACCTGTCCCTCATATATATAGGGAGAGATAGGATATTATGCCTACCTAGATTCAAATCTAATGATATTGGGGGAGGAGTAGATAGAATAAGCATGAAAAAAGGTATATATATATATATATATATATATATATATGAGGTAGGATCCTTTGACACCGGTGTCAAATTTTAATTTTGACACCTCATCTAAGAGCCGTTAGATCAAAAAAGATCAATGGTGTCACATGTTTGCAAATCAGAGTCGTTGATCTTTTTTGATCTAACGGCTCTCAGATGAGGTGTCAAAATTGAAATTTGACACCGATGTCAAAGGATCCTACCTCTATATATATATATATATATATATATATATATATATATATATATATATATATATATATATATATATATATATATATATATATATATATACTGTGTGATATTTATTTGATATATAAGAAATGAAGAAGTGTAACTACCTCTTGATAGTTCCATTTGCACCTTCATGGACACAGATGAGGAGAGTTTACATGATGCTATTGGAATCATTTTCCTCTATGTGTCTACGTTTCTGTGTGAATAAATCAATTCATCAGTGATTTTGGCTTCTTGATCGAAGTTGTTTCAAATGTACTCACCACCATTCTAAGAGGTTTTTGTTTAGATTTTTTTTCCTTCAAAACAGAAAGGTCCTGATAATATACGAGGCACTTTCTTTCATTGGCTTTAGAATTACATTGAGTAGGCAAATTGAAATACCCTATGTGTTGCTTGCATATATTCCAACTGTAATTTTAAGATGTTTAAGGAAATTTAACAGTGGATGATCATGCACCTGTAACCTGCGTGCTAATATAATGTGAATTATGTATAGTAGAAGACTAGGAAGTAAGAACCATTTTTCAAGTTTTCATTTATAATATTATTTAGACTATGCAATCCATATTTATTCCTGGTATTATTATTATATTCTATAGATATTTTTGTATATTTTCTTTGTCTGTGATATTCTTGATGTTATGAATTTGTGATGGCCTGACAAGTAATATTTTACATTTACCTACATTCCTAGGCTGGAGATCTTTCTTGTTTGACCTTACTAATTCTTGATAGAAGAAAGACTAATGGCACTTTCAATGAGCTTGGTCTCTGTAGGCCTCAGATTTGGCTCAATTCCTAAAACCAGAGTCAATGTCACTGGAAGGTTTATATCCAGATCTTCAACGGGGCTTCGCATTCGAGCTGTGCAAGAGAATGATGGACCACGCAGACTAGTGGACATTATTAGACTCGTGCCTGAGCTCTCAAGGAATTACTTTAGAAGTCCTTCTCGGAGGGCTTTGTTTGGTGGAATCTCCTTGTTGGGTGGATTTTATGTTGCACAAACAATCTCTCTGTCTTTTGGAGCTCTAGGAGTCAATGATGTTATTGCTGCAGTGTTGTGTGTTCTTCTTACAGAGTATGTGACTAAGTTCTATTACAGTAGGCCAAAAGTCACTTTCCCAGTTGCTCTTCTCAACAACTTTAAAATGGGTTTCACCTATGGACTCTTCATTGATGCCTTTAAGCTTGCTAGTTGATCTTTAACATCCAAATGCAACTTCTCAAGATTCATGTTTACCCGGTCACTTTCCAAAATTGATTACCACCAAGCTTGTACATGTTAGAACTGGTTAACATCTAAATGCAACTTCTCAAGATTCATGCTTACCTGGTCGGTCTCCAAAATTGGTTTGCTTGTGTTTAAACACCAAGCTTGTACATGTTAGAAATGCCTCTAGAACTATTTCTATAGTTCTATTTCATGTACATCATCCATAATTCCTGTATTCCATAACGCGTAAAAATTATTTTTCCCTTGTATTCTTATATTTCCTTTTCTTGGTAATTTGTTTGGCTATTTTGATCTCTTCACTATTCTTCTGTACCTGTTGGGTTCTAAAAATATGTACCTCTTTATATTGGTGCCACAAAATTGGAGTTATGAGCCTATGATCACATTTGAAAGGTTCTGAATCGTAAGATTCATGACTATAATGAAATTTGAAAGAAAAATAAAGATGGGTAATTGGGTATAAGAAATAACTAAAAGATTACATCTCTGAATGAAGTCTGAAATCTAAAGCGTGGAGCTCTTTGAATATTTTTCTAAGAAAACTTTTCTTGTTCAAGTCTCCGGCTGAACTTAGTTTGAAAACTTTTTCTAGTAGATTCTCTGGATTCTTGTGTGCCAAGTCTCTATTTTTCAGATTTATACCAGTTCTTTTATTACCTTGGTGAAGAAATTTGTAGTAAATTGAATATTTTTTCTTAAGGGATTTGTATTAATTTGATCTCTGTTTCCTTTGTAATGTCTCTATTTTCTTAATTACTAGTGACTTTTTAAATTTGCTTTTGAATTTGAATCGTAAGTTATATCTATATTTCCTTAATTAATAGTGCCTTTCCATATTTATTTTTGAATTCAAATGACAAATCGAATTGAATTGAATTGTAGTTGTAATTTTTAAATTAAAATTTGCAAATCTTGAGTTGAATTTTGAATTAGTAGAGGCCCTCAATGTCTTAGAATCCAACATTGTTGTCAGCGTTAACTCAATACAGGTAATGTATGGTCATCAAATCCCTCACAGCATCCTAGGTAATGGCAAAAAAAAAAAAAATAGCTGGAATTTTAAATGATGTTTCTCGCTTGGTTGATATCATCTTTATGAATGTTAGGTGATGGTATTAATCCCGTGGATCTTGAGTCCTTATCAATATGTGTTGTGAAGAATCTTCTAAGCATGAATCATCATTATATATATTTATATATATATATATATATGCTTATCATTTCTCAAGCTGCTTGAGACAATGTTATCTTCGGCTACTAAATCATGACTGTACAAAAATGGATTAATAATAATAAAGGAAGAAAGAAAAGAAAAGAAATCATAATCATTCAAGGTGAATCAATTAATATAAGAAAATAAATAAAACGACGTAGTTTTGGGTGGCCAGAGATAACATTGTCTCAAGCAACTTGAGAAATGTTTTTCCCTATATATTTCTCAAGCTGCTTGAGACAATGTTATCTCTGGCTACTAAATCATAACCATACAAAGATAGATCAATGGTGATAAAGGAAGAGAGAGAAAAAGAAAATCATAATCATTCAAAGGTGAATCAATTAATATAAGGAAATAAATAAATAAAACGACGTAGTTTTGGGATAGCCGAAGATAAACTTATCTCAACCTGCTTGAGAAATGTTTTTCCTATATATATATATATATATATATATATATATATATATATATATATATATAGGGTCAGGATCATTTTACACCAGTGTAAGTTACACTCTCAATCTTGTCCGTTGATCCCATTTATATCTAAGGGTTCAAATTTTTTAGTAATGTGAGTCATTGGATACAAGTGGATCAATGATCAAGATTGAGTGTAAGACTTCTAACTCTTACACCGGTGTAAGAATATCCTGCCCCATATATATATATATATATATATATATATATATATATATATATATATATATATATATATATAGGATTTATCGTTTTTCAAGCTGCTTGAGATAATCTTATCTCCGGCCAGTAAATTATAACCGTACAAAGATGGATCAATGGTGATAAAGGAAGAGAGAGAAAAAGTGAATCATAATCATTCAAAGATGAATCAATTAATATAAGGAAATAAATAAATAAAATGACGTAGTTTTGGGATAGCCGAAGATAAACTTATCTCAAGCTACTTGAGAAATATTTTTCCCATATATATATAGGGTTTTATAATTCTCATTTAACATGAGAATTTGAATTTTGTTACACACACTTCGATTTCCGTGCAAACGTAGGTCCTACACATAATTTTTTCTAACATATGGGTCCCACATATTTTTTGTCTCTACAACATGAGAATTCAATTCTCATGTTGAATGAGAAATATAAAACCCATATATATATATATACATATATATATATATATAGGAAGATTATACTTATAACATTTTTTTTACAACATCCTAGAATCATATTTTAACACCGTTGATTTCCGCCAATCAACGGTTATCATTTATTGTGAATTAATAATTAATTAATGAGTTTAATTTGTGAAAATCATAACTGTTGATTGAGGAAAATTAACAGTGTTAAGATATGGTTGTAAGAGGTTGTAAAAAAAAAGTTGTAAGTATAACATTTCTCATATATATATCATCCTCAACATCAACATCACCTTTATCCCAAATTAATTGGGGTCGGTAATAGAAGAACCCACATGAAAGATACAAAACAGTTGAAAAAGATAAAAATAAATAAATAAATAAATAAATATAAATAAAATAAAATAAATATATATATATATATATATATGTATATATAAATAAATACAAGTAAAAAAGAAAGGGACAAGAAGAAGTGGGAAAAATGAAGGAAAAAAGGACTAAAAAGGGACCATCTTTCTCATATATATATATATATGGGAAATATGACTCTTCTGCAATAGAAAAAAATCTTTTTTCCTACACACTCAATCAAAAATGGGACCCACCAAGAAACATAAGAAAAAATAAAATAAAATAGATGACAGCGCATCACATATGAGTCTGCAGGAAAAAGTTTTTATAGCATAAGACAATACAATCCCTATATATATATATATATATATATATATATATATATATATATATATATGTATACTTTTTTGAGTTTGAGAATTTTGGTTGCTTGGGGAAAAGATTGGATGTTGACTAAAATTAAAAAAAGTTGAGTAGAATATATATGCGTGCATCACGTAATTGATGTATTCATTATTTAATAATATTCTCATTTCCTACACTTTGTAAAATATTAGAGATGCAAATTAAAATAATGTTGAGAAGATCCTTATAAAACAACAGTCCAAACCAATGGAATAATTTAAAAAACGAAGTTGTGAATTCATCTCTCCTTCTCTTCGTTTCATGAACTTTATCCCTCACTTCAAGCCTTCAGCTTTCATTAAATAAATAGGAAATAACTATTGACAGCATCGGGAAACTACTATATGATATTGTGTATATATGTTGAACCGTTGGTTATGTATGAGATTCACGTATGTAACCTCAAGCATGTGATGATCGGGGACGTTTGGTAGAAGAACTTTTTTTTTATCCGAAAATCTCAATTTTCAGAAATATGATGAAAATATTCAGTTTACGATAATATCCGAAAATTAAAAATTTATAAAAATTCAATTTTTCGATATCCTGAAAAATATCGACTACCAAACGTCCAACAATGATATCAACTAAGGCTATGCAAAGAGGTCTCAAGTGATGTATATAACAATGAGAGTAGTGTAAGATACTAAGATAGCTGCAATAACTCTCCAAGTTGACAGAGTAAATGTCATATAAGTAGAGATATATCTGTCTAGAGGAGAAGAGGAGGGGGTATTTATAGGTTTCATGGGAGGATAAGGGAAGAGAGTTAAGTCAACTATCATGGGGAGGAGCCATTTAGCTTGACATTGCAGGCGCAAGGTGCTTTGCACCTGCTACAATGCTGACAGCAAAGTGAAAGTATAAAAAGGGAGGCATTTCGGGTGCCTATTTAGACAAAGGGATGAGTGGGAATTCCAAATAAGACATTATGGTGTCTTATGTTGGAAATCTGTTGTATAGGAAAAAAAACTTTTGGTTCTATAAAGGCACTGAAAATTAGATGTGAAAATGCTATTATAACTATTTACTACCAGTAGTATATACTTATAATATTAAAGTTGTATTTTTTTTATTTCTTTCTCTCTCCAAAAATCATGTATGCTAATGTGGTCTCTCCCTATTGGTCGGTTGTGATGCACTTATAGTTGACCCATTGTACATGGCCTAACCATTGATTCAAGAAGCTCGTAGTCAACTAGAGTTGTGGCCCAATAAGAATGACCCAATTGTTGAAAAAGGCAATGATTTGAATATAACAAATTACAATCGAATCCAAGTCCCAATAAAGCAGCAGATGTGATTGAGATTTATTTGGAAAGAAAATGAAAGCAACATATTTGGCGTGATTTGAGATTAAAGATTTGGGATGTATTTTGAATTATTTATTTGTAATTTTTTATTTATTTTAAATGTTAATTACTGTTATATTTATTTTAGAAAGTTTTATTATTTTTAGAATTTTAGATTTTGAATTTTGAATCAATTTGTAATTAGTCTATAAAAGAGTGCTTATGACCCTTATTCTAGGAGTTGAATTTTGATATTTTGTTAATAGAAATTGAGAACCAGAGGGTTACTCTTTTAGAAAATTCCAACTTTATGTTTAGCCACTTTTCTATGCGCTTTCGGCATCAGGTTGCACCCACTAGTCAGTATTGCACAAAAAGTTTTCTCATTGCATAGGTGCTAGTATGGCAACACTATCAAAGTAGGGTCAGCCTATTGGACCGGCCAGAACATACGTGTACATTAAGTTAATAATAAATAAATATTAAAATCATAATTTTAATTAATAAAGTAAGTGTAAATTCTTTTTCAAAAATAGTATATTCAAAATATAATTGTAGTCCTTTTTACTTTATGAGTCATATTGAGCTCTGCGAAAGAGAAAAAAAAATTGAGGTAAGACAAACATCACATCAAACAATATCGTAATCCTAAATCAGAATTTCATTTGAGCAATGTTATAAAAATCGGATCGAGCCGGCCAGATCGACTCAAAAAATTGATGAATCGATCATGTAATCAGTTTGATTTTCATATTAGACCGGCCATGTTACAGAACTGGTACGACCCGGCTAGTTTTTGTAAAAACCGGTGAACCAACCCAGTTTATAAAAAAAAAACTAATTTATTCTCATCAATTGATTTCTTTTTTTTCGCTCTCAAACACAAATAGTTTGTTTT